GATAGAATATGATGGAGGTAGATTATGCTAGGTGCCAATTTCCCTTGTATTTCTCATATTTTTAAAAATGAAAATAAATAGTTGTGCTAATAAGCAAAGATAACAAACCAGACCACTTATTTAAGTTGAATTTTTTTCTTATATTGCCTGTTTTCCTGTAGTCAGAAAATCAATGTTCTGGAAGAGTCTCTTTATTTGCTCCCATTTAATATCCTTTAAAGTATCATTGAAGTGTAAACATCACTTAGATCAATAACACCATAAAAATAGTATCAGTTTTCTTCTAGTTTCAGCTCCACCCATCACTCCAACCCTCAGTGGTTAATAGATCCAGTGGTACAGTGAGGAAAATCCCAAACATGTACCAAAATACAGTCAAAAAGTCCACACAGTATTCAATATAGGAAGCTTCTAGAAACTAAGTAGCACTGTGAATATGTGAGAAAGAGCAATTCAAAATAAAACCCCAAGTGAACAAGCAAAATCGGTTTGGGAAAAAAAAAGAGAAAAGATCAGAAAAATGGGAAAATTCTATGATGAGCCGAAGCTAACGGAGGTTCGGAGTTAGATTTGTTAGTATAAAGGAGGCCTGGACGTTCGAGGTAATTATCTCTTATCTTTTGTCGGTTAGAAAAGCAGCTACGAAAAGCCGGAGTGCATTTTTTCTGGCCACCGAACAACACACGCTCCTTCGTCCACACTCCTTGTTTTCCCTCCAGGGTTTAATTTCCATTTCTTTGGATGAAAATGTTCCTTTGGTACAAGGACTGCGGTTGTCACTGAGTTCTTAGTGTTCTCAATTAAGTGTGAGAGGTATAGGAAGAGAATGAAATGGAGCGCCTGCAAAGGTTCTTGGGGAATATTTGCAAGTGTTTTCTTTCAAACGCAATTCACTCTTAAAGCTATGCAAGCACTTGGAGCGCGGTGTAAAGTGGCCCTGGCGCATTGTAATAGTAGAGTGTGACCACTGGGTGGGGACAAAGGACAAGCTTCTTGATGTGGTGTCGCTGCCCCCCGAGGCCCCTGGCCACCTGTCCAAGTTTGGGTAAATTGAAAATGAAATTAGAAGGTGAGAATAAGGTATTTGTCAACCAGGTGGAAGAAAAACAAAAATCTCTCCACACCAAGTGGTGAATCAATTAGTGTCTCATTTATAATGCTTTTATCCAAGATAACTTATTTTGGGCGAAATGTGCATTGATTGTTTGAATTTCACGCCCTTGCATTATGCAAAAGGAGTCTGAGCTCAGTGGAGGACTATTGCATATTGACAGTTTTGGTAAAGATACAGCACCTTCCGTTAGTGCATGAATGGCTCTATCACCGCAAAAGTATGAGCAGAAACGTGGTTGGGCGAGGGGACGATTACCCTTCCCCGCTGCAAGGCTTTGAGTCCTAATAGAGCATGTGTCAGATACTGGGAATCTATCCATGACCCTAACAGAGGCACGCCTTTCATACTTGTCTAGCGTACTCGGCCTTTTTACTACTCTGTTGTGGAAGGACTTTCTTGGAAGTAGAAAACTGAGTTGAGAAATCTTTAAAATTTATCAGTGCGTCAAGTTGACTTCTAAACTGGAAATTGAGGGGTTGTTCAAAGATGCAGTAGCGTTCTCGGGTGCGGAGGATTCAAGGTGGGGAGGGCTCAGCCAGGCGGGTGTGAGTAGCACAGAGGGGCGTGGGGTGGCGGCTTCACTCCCAGGACTCTGCCAGCCCGGCGTCCTGCGGGCTCAGCTCGGCTCAGTGCTTGAGAGTGAAGCCTGCTCCCCGGCGCGCTCCCGTGAATCAAGCCCACGCTCTAGGATTAAAATCAGGTTGTGGCCTTCCATACTATTTTTATTCCCTGACAGTGATTGAGAGCTTGCCATGAGTCGTGCTCTGTATTAAGGGCTCCATGTAATTGCTACGGTGACCCGCTGAGGTGGACACCATCCTTATTTGACAGATGAGGAAACAGGCACGGGGCATTCAGTTCTCTGGAAATGGCCGAGCTGGAGCTGAGATGTACCTGTGTCCCTCTCCAAATCTGGGAACAGCCTCCCCCACAAGCCCTTCCCTCCCCATCCTTGGCCACAACCCCATCCCCCCACGGTGCCTGGCTGGGCAGCGGGCCCCTCGGAGCACCTCCGTCCTGGGTCTCCTCGGGTCTGTGCATTCTGTCTTTAGACTCGCTGGAGCAAGATGACTTGTGCTTTTGCCTGTGAACCACATACTTTGTTTCCTTAGTTGAACCATCAGAGGGCAATTCCATTAACTTCCTCTTGCAGCTCTTTGGGTTGCCCGCTGCGGCCGCCATGCGCTGCAGTCATAGAGGGAATTGAACCGCAGTCAGCCCACAGAGCTCTCGAAACTGGCCGGCGGCCTCACATCCGCAGTCTTAGGTTGCAGGGAGCAAAAAGTAAAACTGCCATCTGCCTTTTCCAGTCTGGCTGTCCTTGGGTACATCCTGCCCACGGATGCTGAAGGACGCACTCAGATCTCATTTGGTGCTTAGCTGTCACCTGCCACCAGTGACGTGCCCATGTCGCAGCCAGCCCCTCAGGGTGTTTTCAGCCGCGGGAATGGCTCCTTCTGCCTTCTAGCTGGGGATTGCTTAATGAGCTGAAATACATCTTAGTCCTAGGACGCGAATTTTAGTTTGTTCTGTAGCAGGTCATATTCTCTGCAGTCTTTTAAAAAAACATTTGTTTGTCTACCCTTGGGAAGAAACAAAAGTTGTCTAGAGAGAAAAACAAAGCTTATATTAAAAACATCACATTCATAGACTAATTTCTACTTAGACTCAGTAAAAATAAAGTGGAGAGAATGCAACCTGGTTTTATTTTTCTCTAAGGAGTAGAGATGTTTTTCTCCAGCCTTTAACTTGATTCATAAAGAGATTTAAACCTTGAAATAATATTAGATCGACTCCACTAAAAATACACCTTGATGGTGTTTCAGGGTGGTTCAAAGTAGGATTTCCACGGTTCAGGGAGCTTCTCTGTGAAACATTTAGGCGGGAGAAGACTGGCTGGGCGTGCTGAGTGGCCCCTGGACATACCTCTCCTTGGTTCCCCATGTGGGGTGAATTCCTGAGAAGTATTAATAGTTTGTTCCTGTCTGTGGCTGAATGTGGCCTCACCAGGGCGTGTTTATTCATAGTGCTATTGATGGACATTTGAGTCATTTACAGTTTGGGGATATTTTGAATAAAGCTGTCACAAACATTTGTGGACAAGTATTTTTGTGCATGGATGTTTTTATGTCTTTTGAGTAAATACCAAGTAGTAAATTGAGATTGTCGGATTTTGAGGACAAAATCCACATCCCATTCATTTTTGTGCCCCAGAGCGCGGTGCCTTGAGCCTAAGGGTGAAGGGAACACCTTGGTGGGAAAAGGGAATGACTATTTAGTGTATGTTTACTAATTGCCAGATACCCTTTAAAAGATTTTTTCATATACTGTCCTATTTAGCCCTTCCAACAACCATATGCCATATGTGTTATTTTTATAGAATTTTGTTTCTAACTGGAGAAATAGAGGCTCAGGGAAGTTAAGTAGCCTGCCTAGGAGCACATAGCTAGTAAGATGTAGAACTAGGATTCAGACCCTCTGTTTGACTCCAAAGACCGGGATGACTTGTTCCTATTACTGTGGGCTGCTTATCCAAACAGCTAAGTTGATTTGATTGGTGGGAGAATCCTTACATTCTCCTGAGAGCCTCTGTGGCATCGCGAGTGCCTTCCTGGCCATTGAAGTCGGTCAGATCCCGCTACAATAAAGTCTAAGAGTCAGTCTATAGCTCTGGGATGCTGACCAGCATTACTGTTAAAAATAAGAGCGCATTAGCTGAATTTTAAAAAATCCAACTGCATTTTCCATGGTATCAACATTTTGCTATTAAAATAATTACTGTCGCCTTGTAAAAATTTAGCCGAATTATTGAGCTCTTTATGTGTCGTTGACTCACAATAAGCAACACTTCTGCAAAATCCACAGGCTGTTGAGGTTTTTTCTTGAGCTGCAGGAATCTTTTGGAGAGAAAGAACTTTGAGGGGACCTAGGGCTCTTTAGAATTTCATAGCAATTCATCCCCTCCACGTGGTGTGGCACAGGAGAGTGGCGGCCAGCAGAGTTCATCATGGCACCCGCTAAGGCAGAGTGGGCCGGGGACAGGGCTGATGGGCAGCTGGAATGCCCTGGCCTGTCCATATTGATTAACAAAATACTGAAATACTTGTGTTT